TTAGATCCAAATTTACAAATATTTTTTTTTTATTAAAAGACATACTTCGTGGCAGTTATTTTATCAACATATGTTGAGGTTTGTATTACAACTATTTTTACAGAAATGAGAGTACAACTAGTTATACACTTTTGGTTGCCTATTTAAGTAGTTCATCTTAGGGTTTTATACTAGATGCTGTACCTATAATCTACTAGGAGATTATCTATTTAAACCTTCTAATCATCTGCCTTGTTAATCATTTAACTACAACAAACCTCATATATATACTTAACCAGTATATCATCTGAACAGTACAATATTTTCTTTTTTTGAATTGGTGCTTAGGTTATTACATATTTTAGAATAAGACTCAGAGGGTCTTTCTTGCTAAAAACTTATCACACTATGGAACATTAACAAGAGCTTAATCTTGTAAAGTTTATCTGTATCTTAGTACCTATTTCATAGTATATCTCTAGTACTTTAGTATATTTTTGTTTTATCCTTAAATTCTCAATCCAGATAGCTTAAAAGCATTATAACCTGTTTTTGATATATCAAGTCCAGCCTAATATTCTTTTTTTCTAGTTTGACCTAACAGTCTGGTTGGTAGTATCTCTAATCTAGAGATTCTTGTTTATCTGATTTCTTCATATTGTTATTCATTTCTTTAGTATAGTTTTTATAATAGTAGTCAAAGATCTGTTATTTTTCTATTTAGGTCTTTCCAAATAGCTTTTAGTTTTTCTTAGTTATACAGATTTATACAGTTATAAGGATTTATATTAGGTTTGTACCATTTGGTAATAGTTTGTATCTTTCTGTATAATTAAGATTATACAAATATTATAATCTACCAGTTATACTAATACAATTATAGGTACAGATATCTTATTTTAACTGATTAACAGAATGTTATTGCTATAATACTGTCTATATATTATATAGATGATTATTTGAATTTTCAATATTGATGAGTTTTAAACTTACAGCCTACTACTTAGAGAATTAACAACTTATTTCTTTTACTAAGTTGTTATATCTTCTATAATTTTTTAATTTAGTTTTAATTATAAGTTAAATAATAGAATCTTGTATATATTAATTAAAATTAATTTATATATTTTTATTCATTTTAATATATTTTTAGTGCTTTTCAATTTTTTTAATTTATAGTTTAAATTAGATTTATAGTCATAAACTCTTAATTTTTTAAAATTATAATAATAATTTTATTAAGAAAGATTTAGCTATATAAAATATTTTACTATAATTTTGTTTTGTATAAATATCTTTATTTTAAAAGATTTTTTGATTATTAATTAAACAATTAAATTTTGCAATTTTATAAAATAAATATTAAAATCAGTTAATTACAATAAAAGTTTACTATATAAATTAAATATATATTAATAAATATTAGACTAAGCTTGACTATACAATTTGAATTACATTAGTAATATTAATATTACAACTGTTAAATTTTAACTTTATTAATGATACTTTGATTAGTAAAATTAAAAAAAGGAATTACAAAAAAATATTATAGTAAAATACAAAACAATAATTTTTTAATCTTATATATGATTATATAAATTTAAAATTTTGGTTTTCATAAAATTAATTTTAACCAAACTCAGCTAGTTACTTTTTTTAAAATTTTTATATATAAATTTTTTAATAAACTAAATTATAAATATGTACAGAAAAGCATATATACTAACTAGGCTGTTAGAAATTATCAAAAAATATATATATAAGTATACCAAGAGTCTGATTACAGATCTATTGAGTTATCTAAATTAGTAATTTAGAAAATCTTTAGTTTTGACTAAAAAGACTTAATATAAAATAATATTAGAAAAATAAGTATTAGAATTTAAATAAATTATACAAAAATAAAAATAGTATAATATAACAGTTTAATAATAATAGCTATAATTACAAGTATTAGTCTAGCTATAGCATATTATATAAAACTAGATTAGCTATATATAGAATATAAAATCTCTAATAACAATATTTTAAAAATAAACTGTATAAAACAAGATAGATATTTTAAGAGCACAAATAAGTATTTAGAACATTTTGACTAATATATATATTAAAATATTTTAGTAATATTATAAAAAATATACAGAAGATTTAAATAAAAAATACTTGTAGTTAGATTATAGCTAGTATAGAATTATAGCAAAACTATTTAAATACTAAATATATATATATAATTAGTTCTTATCCTCCTACTTTTAACTCACCCTTAAATTCTATTTCATATTTACCTCAATCTTCCCTTTCTAATTTAATCCATTTTAAAATTTACTTCTGGTATATACAATAGATCAAATACCAAACCAATCTCTTATATATAATTACTAACAACCAAATCTAGATGAGCCTTGGCCACTTCTGTTGGTTTAGGTCACAGATAAACTAGTCTGAGCTTCTATTCTTTTTATAAAATTTTTAATAGTAAATTTAAACTTTAAGTAAAAATTTCAAATAAATATTCAATAAAGATAGAGGCATGGCCTTATCAATAATTTAAAAAAATATATATATATATATATAATTAGTTATATTTTTTAATATAAAAATAATTTTATTAAAATTTTAGTTATAAATTTTATTTTTTATAATATTGAACTAGCTCTATATATGTTACTACATGCCATATTTAAATTTCTATATAAAATGGTTTAACCAGTTTTTTATTGATTAAAATTTTTTTTTAAAATATCAAAGTCTAAAATAAAATATTAAAATTAAAAATATTACTTCTAGTTAATTAACTTTAATTGTTAGTTAAAAAATTTTTTGAAAAAATATAATACTATATAATTTTAAATTTATTATATAGTACATAAAAAAAATAAAAAATATCTGATCACTTTAGTTTGTAGCAAAGCTATTATATTTTTAAATGCTATCAGTCAGATTATCATTGAATATTTAACACACATCTGTTACTAATGTAATGTTTATTACTTTTCTTAGAATTATATCCAAAATTTGTTATTTGATCTAATATTCAGAACCTAGCAGATTATTTCTGAATTATTTTGATTAGACTAATATAATACAGATGTACAGTTTTGTTACTTTTATAAATTTTCAAATAGAAAAACTTTACCAATATTTCATCTTTACATTTTATTAATAATTTCTTTTAATTAGTCAACTGAATCAACAGTCTTCTTCTCAATAATTACATTTTGATAATGTGTTCTTCAACCATGTTTGTTAGATTCAGCAACATTGTATAGTTTAATAGGTTTTTTAAAGAAGATGTTTCATGAACATAAGACACTATTTTGAGAAATCTTTTTACTTGATTTTTGTTGAATGATAGTAATTATTAATATATATTATATAATTATAAATTACATCATAATTACATTATAATGTATTAAACCATTTTTAAATTAAATATGATTTTTAAGATCATGTTTTAAAACATTTATCATCTCCAAGTATAAACAAAAATTTTATTTCTGCTTATATACATAGTGCCTAGGGTATAGTTGATTTATATTCTGATTACTATTTCAAGATTGCAAGGTATAAAATTTTTAGATTTTAGTCAAATTATATTAATATACATACTGACACAGGCAAAACGGTGAGTCAGTTACTTGACAATGGGATATGTCATATAACCTATGAACAGCTTAGTCAATAAGAGGCAGTTAGATTTGGTGAGTAGTATGTTTATAGTCATAGGTTTTATAATGTATTATCAAGAAAACAGGAAAGTATTTGGGTCAAAATATATTGCAAGCACAAAAACTACTGCTCAGGTAGGGCATGAAGCCTTTATTATATACTGTTATATTATATATGCACTCCTACAGCTATTAAACATACTAAACTTATTATTTAACAGATATATACTTAATATACTGTATTACTTAAATCCCTATTATACCATATATCCCTTTACTTATATTTCTTCCTTATAACCCTTATTACTACTATTACCCTTATAATTGCTAAAGATTCTATAGAATTTTTAAGAGCGAAAATCCTGAGAAGCCCATATTAATAGATGATCGACATAGTTACTGGTTATTACTGTGCCACCTTGATCACCTTCCTTCATGTGCTTCCGGAATTACATTTCATGACTCGCAATACCAAGTTCCTGGTTTTACTTAACCTGTTCAAACAGTTATATATGTACTTAAGTATTGATTATATGCATATTGATATATCGATATTGCTTAAACCAAATTAGTATTTTTGTGTAGTGGTAGGTCATATATTGTTTCTCAGAATTTAGTGATTGCGTTAAAAAAATTTCATTGATATGTGGTATTAGTTATATATTACCATAGTAAATAGTAATGAATTAGGTAAGCATAAAATGATATAATTAGATATAAGCAAAATGAACAGCAAAAGTTTAAAGTTTTTATAAACTTACTAATTTATTAAGTTCATTACTTTTGCAATGTGATACTACTGTAATAATATTTAAATAAAATTTAGTGTTTTTTATATACATTTATTTGGTTCATTATTGTAGTATTGTATTTATTATGTGGTTAATAAAAAAAAGTGCATAAATACAAACTTTCAATTTATTACTAAGAAAAAAAAATTGAACCAATAAATATTACTATATTTTGCTCTTTGTTTGTTATTTAGAGCACCTCTTGATAGACAATGTTTTTTGTCTTATTACAGTTAGGTGGAAGTTTAACTTGTATGGAAGATAAACTTTTTGCCCATAAGAATGCAATGTATAGTTGTCCATGACTAAGGACTGGATCTGTAAGCATTAAGCCAACACAATGGAACGTTTGACCCTGTAACTTATTGATAGTCATAGCAAATGCAAATCAAATAGGAAACTGAGTCCTTGTGAAATGAAAGGGCAGAAAATTATCAGTGGGCTAAAGCTTGATTCTTAGTATTAAAATTTGCCATCCAGCAACATTTCTAGTCATAAGTTCACAATTCAAAACATAATCATGCATTCATCACATGATTATTCTTGTACCATTACAAAGACCTTAACTAACATACAAATTACACAATAACATTACAATGGCACCTTGCTTAAGCACTAAACAATGTGGTAGCAGACCATTAGAGGTAAGAGAGTATAAAAACTCTTCTGAAAATTCAGCTAGGTCTTCACCTTGGTCACAAACTATTCTGTCAATGCTAAAATATACTTTTTCATAACCAGGCATTCTCTGAATCATCTCATTACACACATCAAGACTCAATTTATTGGTTGAACATAGGATTACTGTTGAGAGTAAGGCTGTTTTATCTCCATTTTCTAAAGCATTACTAAAAACATCTGTAACTAAGTTATTAGTTGAAATATATTGTGTTGGAACTTCTATTTCTTCATTAATTGCTGGGAGTGTTCCATTTCCAAGATAGAGAAGCCATTGTAAAAATTTTATTTTGTCTGCATTTGCTCTCATATTTTGCCAAAATTGCAAAACAGTAAAATGTAACCAAAGCTAAAAACTTTTAATACAATTTGCAATGCTTGTAGCTCTTGATCCTCTTTGAACTACAGGTAGAACCTGCTGAAAATTGCTGCCTAGTATTATTATTTTACCTCTGAATAGTTGTTCAGTTTGCATCAAGTCTCTAAGACCAATCTCAATTACTTCTAAAGCTTCACAGGGAGCCATTGGGGCCTCATTCCAGATAATAACCTCTGCTTTTTTAATAAGTTCAGTATCTTTACTATTGGCAGATATGAGTATTCATAAGTTTGAGTTTAAAGTTAATGGTAACTTAAATCGGCTATATACAGTTGTTGCTTTTGGTAACAAATTAGCAACAATTCCTGTCCAGGCCATAGTAAGTACTTCAATTCTGAGTCCATTCAGTTTATGACATAGTGTCTGATACAAAAATGTCTTCTTAGTTCTACTGGGACTGTTAACAAAAAAGTACTTATCATTATTATTTAGTTTACTTGTTGCAGCTATGATTTTATCAGCTATAAGTCATTGTTCATCATTTAATTGAGCATATATTATTTCACCAATTCTATGTTTCTGGTCCCTGTCAATATGTTCCTCATTAATGTGTATATTAGCAGCCATAGATAATAATATATGAAAATTTTTTTCAAGAGATTTTTTAAATTGTGCTAATTTTTTATTAATAATTTGATAAGCATGATATAGAGAGACTTCAGCACTATTATTGCAGATCAAGTCTTCATAAAGATATACTTTATATTGATCCCAAAATAATAAAGAATTACTAATATTACCTCAAATAAGTATCATTATGAACAGCTGTCTTAATTCTCTTGGCATTTGCCACAGAACTGCTTCATTCATATATTTACTCTATTCATTATCATTATCCAACAGCTCTCACATTAAGGCTGCTTCATGAAAAGAAGTATATACATGGTCTTGAATAGTTTTAAGATCTTGAAAACCTTTAACACCAGGCATATGCAAAAGCAAAAGTCTGAGACAGAATAGTTCAATGTATGATAGTGAAACAGTATACATTCTACCAATAATCTTTTCTATATGCTTTACTCTTTTTTGTCATGTTTTTGTTTGCTTATGAAAAGTATAAAACAGTGGAATATCATGATATACAATTTTACTAGCATCAACATCTTGTTTATTTAACTTGAACCATGCAGTTAACATCGTATTTTGGGCTGACTGAGAATTAAGTGCTTCAGCTTCATTTCCAGTACTAAAATAAATCTTTTGCTTTTCTGGCAAATGCACTGATAATCGAACAACAGAATGTAATTTTTCCTGCATTTTATATTCAATTAACCTCCAAAATGCTTTAGGAGCACTAATATAGTGAGAATCAACAAAAGTTGAAATTTCATTATAGTCAAGTATTTGTACTTAGTTTCATTCAATAGTTTTTAGCTGTAGCTTTGCAAAATCGTAACCCTTAAAAATATATTTATACAGGTACTTAAAGCTTTTTACTGAAAAGCAGATTTTGACATTTATATGAGCTTGATACTTTAGCAGCAAATATGGATTATGTGGTACAATCTACTGATTGTTTACTTCATGTCTTTCAACAGTTATTGTTCTATCAGTGTCTCTCTGTCAGTACTTTGGATATCTATTGTCATTTGTAATAGTTTCTTGGCAATACTCCTTTGGATATTTCTTACTACATATAAACTTATTTTCATTCATATATGGAGCTTCATGATTTAAATAGCCACATAGCCTATGAACCATTGTCTTCACAATAATCTCATATAGTCTTGGATGATCAGCAGGATCTGGTATCTTACAGCTTACTATTCAATCAATTATATCAGAATCTTGTGGCTTATGTTCATCAGAGAAAATTAACAGCATATGACAGTGAGGTCATCCATGTTTCTGGAATTCAATTACCCTTGTATATGCAATTACTTTTCTAAGAATTTCATTTTTTAACAAATCTTCTAATAGCATATCAAGCTTGAGCTTGAACACTTTGTTCACAATGTCTGGTCTATCAGCAGTAATCTGTCCAAGTTATAATAACCAGGTAATTTCTTTCCAGGCCAGGTTATATATAATTGTCAAAAAAATATCAGGCTTACCAAATTTTCTATATATGGCCATGGCATCTTGGTAGCTTTGTTGCATCGCTCTTGGGCTTTCTGGAAAACTTGACAATAACACAACAGCTTGCCCTAGAATAGTTCCTCTTTCCTCAGCAGCAATAGCTAGATAATCAGATAGTCCACAGTAGCTTTCAACTCGTAATGCTGGTTGATTCTGTCATTGATAGATCAATCTTGTTGCTTTAACTTTTACATACACATCGACTAAATATTGCTAAAAAAGAGCACCAGCATACAAAATTGGGTTGAAGCTATTTCTTTGTGCTATACAATAACAGTAAAATTGTAACATTGAAATATTTTGTCTTTTTGCCTGATCATGTCAGCTGTTTAACATATTTGGATGCCAGCCTTTGTCACCTTTTGAAAACAGCAATGGATATAATATTGGATCACAATTACTATTAATTACTAGGATGGTTTTAAGCTAATCACTGCATGGATGTACAGCAAGATAATGAGAGAGAAAATTACAATCTCCAGAGCTAATGATGTTTGCAGCAACTTCATTAACACAGAGTGCATTGTAATGATGTTGATCAAGACGACAGTCATTTTCAAAGATTATTTGAACTTTTATCAGCTGCCGACCTTGCTCTATTGCAGTACTATTCTCTTTATGTTGAACCTCTCTCATTATTTGAAATGCTTGTGCAAAAGGACTAACTTCCTGAAATATTAAATCTAATTATGAGAGTAATACTAAATCAAAATTTGTATTAACAGAATTCTTATTTCGGTATATTTGTGCATTAGCTGTTTTCATGAAATAAAGCTGTCCAAAAGTTGGAATATCATTTGTGCTTGGCTGCACTGGTCCAAAAAAATAATATATTTGTCCTAATATTTTGTATACATACAGTCTACAGCCAGGAGGTGATTGAATGTTTGACACAATTGAAGCAAATGCCATAACACCATTATATTTACAAATATTCTTAAAAAAAGTTTTAGATAGTGGATGCTCTTGAAGAAAAAGTTATTTTAGCTTATCAGGAAATAGAAAAGAGGTGGCAGCACCGCAGTGCCTTTATGACAGCAGGATGTAAATTGATCCAAGTTTCTAGCAGTCCATTCTTTCTGAAAATGAAGCACACCACAACAATAACATTCAATATCCATTCTTTCAATATCTGCTTCAAGAGAAAAATCTCTAGTAAAATAAAGTATCTCACGACTATGACATAAAGGTGGAATTGGACAGTTTCTTCTTGCTAAACATCTTTGATATATATTTGTCTGTCATTCAGGTTACTGTTCGATAGGTGTTAATACAGCTCTTTTTCTGCATTTGGTGTTGGTCTTCTGAGCTCTTATTAATTTTGCATTTGGTTCTTGTCTTCTATGGTGTTGACATTGTGCTTGTGCCACTTTTTTTTTACTTATCTTAAAATACAATATGAATTAGACAAAACAGATAAGAATTATATATATTATAGTATTGTAGGCAAAAAGCTTATATTAATAAATTAATTATAAAGCATTTTCTGAAAATAAAAAGTTACAAAAGTTCAGATTAATCTAAGCATATGGGTATATAAATGATATATATTAGTATTAAAAGCTATATAGATAAGTATTATATTATTATAAAATTTTATTTATATTTAGTTGGTTTTACTTTTTTTCTTCAAGTTTCATGTTCAAATTTTACTCTATTTCCTTTTTAAAAGTTTGATTAAATATTGTGTAACAAACAATTGGTATCAGCTTTTTAAATTTTTGGGTATGCTTTTTTTCTGCTATTTCCTTTTTAGAAGTTTGTTTTAAATATTGAGCAAGAGCAAGCTGGTAATCATTATTTATTTTTGGAATATAAATATGAAACATGTAAAAAATTTATGGTTTAAATAGAATTTGAATTTTAAAATATTTATTTTGCACTATTTGTTTTGTGTACATAATTAGGCTACCTGTATATAATTTAAATAATGTTATTATTTCAGAAAAGCAACAAATCAATTAACACCTTACCAATTATTTCAGCCTTTAAAAATTCTTTTTTAAAGTATTTCCTTTAAAAATAAGCATAAATTCTCAATAATTCTTATTCCGAACTATGAGTTATTTTTCACAATAAATACATATAAATGTCTACTAAATAATGTATACATGACTATTTCTAAACACTACTACTATTATTACTTATTGTATTATAAATATCATAAATTTATGAACTATACTTATATCTAAATAAAATATAATAAAAAAGATTAAAATACGGTTAGAATAATAGTTCAAAATACTTAATATAAAATGCAGTTCAGAATAATAGTTCAAAATACTTAATATAAAATGCAGTTCAGAATAATAGTTCAAAATATTTAATATAAAATGCAGTTCAGAATAATAATCTAGTTAAAATAGAATCTCATTTTACTATTAAAAGTACTTTAAAAATTACATTTATATATTTTTACTACAGTTGACTATATAAAAAAAGATCATCAATTATATTTATTAATATTAAAAGTAATTTAAAATTCACATTTATGACATAACAATTTTTAATATTAAAAGTATTTTAAAAATTGCATTTATATTTTTACTATTAAAAGCATTTTAAAAATTACAGTTACTATATAAAAAAGATCGTCAATCATATTTATCCTAATATCAGCCAATCAAAATGACTATACAATCAAATTGACTATATAAAAAAGATTGTTAATCATATTTATCCTAATATCAGCCAATCAAAACAATCTTTTGCTATGATAAATATATATAGAGATATATAAGATTATATGAGGTTTGGTCATGTAACATGATTGGTAATTTTAATGATCATCAAAATAGAGAGCTCTGATTAGCTAGTATTGATGGATGGACAAATGGATTTTAATATAATAGATAAAAAGGTTTAGCTTCAAAAAGCTAAATTTAATAGAAAAAGATTTTTTACAAGTTTTTAAAATTTGTTCTAACTGGTTATAAAAACTAATTAATTTCATATAACTTAAAGTAAATTATTTGTTAATAAAATTAAAAAATATAAATATTAAGAAATAAATATACTCTTAGTAATTTATATTTTAAATTAACTTTTTTTAATAAATATTACAAATTAATATAAAAACTTTTAACATTAAGCAATTATATAACTTTATTTGAAATCTTTATTTATTGTAAAAAAAAACATAAGGTAGTCTTAAAATTATATATAAATCTATTCTAAATTCTATATTTCAAAAACTAATAATGATCTCTAGAGTTGATTGCATAGCAGTTATGCTCTAAAGTTACAAATTGCAAGGTTGTTAGTTCAAGTTCTAGTAACTACAATTGTAAAAATGCATTTCTAAAAATAGAGAACTGCAACATTATAACACCAAAACTTCAAGACATTATCAGATAAACTTATTTTTAGAATATGCAAGTGAACTGTAATTAAGAAACCACCTGATAATGAACATGAGTTAGAACCTGATTTGGAATAACTGAAGTCATGAGATGTAATGTGATATCAAAAGTCTAACAATAAAAGATACTATATAAACTTATAATAATAGCTGGTCTTGAACAGAGCCTAGTGAAACCTTTTGATCCTAGCAGGAGTTAGTATAACAGATCACTTTTGAAAAGACTAAAAAAAGATTGAACTGAAGGAGGTCAAAGTTCAGTAACCAAAAACATTTAAGAACATTAGTTTGAAAAATATAGAATACAAGAATAATCTTAGCAAGATTATCAAAGAAGAAAAAAAAAAAACTAATAATGTACTGTTTTTTTATTTTTTAAATATTAATATAAACAATTCAAAAAAAAATAAACAATTAAAAATTAGAGCATTTTTAAAAAACAAAATATAGAAAAAATTTGTAATAATTATGATACAAAAAATTATTATAAAAAAATAATATAATAACAATTAAAATAACAAAAATATTAGAGTGTTGTGACCTAGTGAAGTAATCAGGTTGTCAACTCCTCAAGTAGTAGGTTGGGTGTTCAAATCCTATTGATGGTGAAAAATTTGGATAATCACCTATGTAATATTCATATTATGGCAACTGTTACTAATGATTGGGTTAGGATACCTGTAATAGCAATCACACCAGCATAACTGGCAGGTTATGAGGCATCTGTATAAGCATGGTGTTACACAAAGGAATGTAAACTAACAAATTGGATAGTGCAAACACTAAATAAGCCCTTTCGCTGTGTAAATCTGTTAAAATTGGATAATAAGAAGTCTATTTAGAAAGACCCAAGTAAAGAGATAGCTGGATCTTCGACAGCCCTACTGTAAAGCCTAGTCTGAGAAAATGGATACCAAGGTCATAGTACCTGGTTATAGTAGTTAGATAGGCAAGAACCTCTGGTTTGGAAGTCTCAGGGGTATCACCAAACAGGCTGCCAAAATGAACTGAAGGAAAAGAATATCAGGCTGATCTGATATACTGATGAACTGATCATAGTCCTATATAGGCTATCTAAATTGGGAGTTTGGTAAAAGGCAAATAAAAAGGCAGTGGTATACTAAAGTACCAGGGTTATGCTGTGAAGTAAATGCTGAGGTCTAAGTGAACTCTATACAAGAGCATAGCAGTTTAATGGTCAGCCCTGACCATAAGTAATAGTTCTGTCATAATGATATCTAGGTCAGCTGTAAAAATAGATACAGAAGGCTTTGGATGTTTACTTTGAAGATAAATTAGTCCTAAGGTTGAGATAATAATCTGGGTATTTGGATATAACCTAGTGAGTTAATACAGATTACAGATTCAGAAGGTTTAAAGTAGAACACCCAAGCAGAGGTGATAGGTACAGCAATTAATAAGGAACATTTGGGCAGACTCCTTAAATAGGTAATATAGAAAAGTTACACATGTAGCCAATTGTACTCTCTTCTGTAATAGTTCATTGAACCACAATATCAATAAGTAATTAATAAAAGTCAAAAGACCAAAGAGGTCACCTTAATTAAAGACTTAGTGGCCATGACATATTTTCACCGGCATCGGCCGGGGTCGTTGGTAGGCAGAGGTAGGTGGATGGATACGGAAACAGAGTGGTTAAATAGGGAACCTACAAGTGGGTTCCAGGTATGGCAACTAGTGTGGAACCCTCGGGCGGACTACTTAAATTAGACAATGACTAAAGTTGTATGAGTGGCTAGTTGTACACTCTTCCCATGGTTGCCTTCTGTGGT